GCAGCACTATTTAAAATAGCCAGGTTGTGGAAGCAACCTAAATGCCCATCAACAGACAAATGGATAAAGAAGATGCGGTACATATATACAATGGAATATTACTCAGCCATAAAAAGGAACGAAACTGGGTCATTTGTAGAGACATGGTTGGACCTAGAGACTGTCATATAGAGTGAAGTAAGTCAGAAAGAGAAAAACAAATATCGTATATTAACGCATATATGTGGAATCTAGAAAAATGGTACAGGTGAACTGGTTTTCAAGGCAAAAATAGAGACACAGATATAGAGAACAAACGTATGGAAACCAAGCGGGGAAAGCGGGGTGGGTGGGTGGGGGGATGAATTGGGAGATTGGGATTGACATATATACACTAATATGTCTAAAATAGATAACTAATAAGAACCTGTTGTTTAAAAAATTTTTTTAAAAAAAGAAATAGACAGAGAAGCTGAATAGACACTTTCCCAAAGAAGACATACAGATGGCCAGCAGGCACATGAAAATATGTTCAACATCACTAATTATTAGGAAAATGTAAGTCAAAACCACCATGAGATATCACCTCATGCCCATTAGATTGGCTATTATCAAAAAGACAAGAAATAACAAGTGTTGGGGAGGATGTAGAAAAAAGAGAATCTTCACACACTGTTGGTGGGAATGTAAATCGGGGTGACCCCTATGGAAAACAGCATGGAGATTCCTCAAGAGATTAAGAATAGAACTACCATATGATCCAGCTATTCCACTTCTGGATATTTATCTGAAGAAAAGGAAAACACTAATTCAAAAAGATATATGTGCCCCATGTTTATCAAAGCATTATGTACAGTAGCCAAGATATATAAAAAACCTAACTGCACATTGATGGATTAATGGATAAAGAAGACGTGGTATATATATACAATAGAATACTACTCAGCCATAAAAAAATGAAATCTTACCATTTGTGAGAACATGGATGGGCCCTGATGTTATTATGCTCAGTGAAATAAATCAGATGGAGAAAGACAAATACTGTGTGATTTCACTTGTGGAATATAAAAACAAAACAAAAATACATGAACAAACCAAATCAAACAAAACAAACACATTGATACAGAGAACAGAGTAGTGGTTACCCGAGGGGAAAGAGGGTGGTGGGAGGGCTAAATGGGTAAAGGGGGTCAACTGTATGGCGACAGATGGAAACTAAATTTTTGGTGGTGAACATGTTGTAGTGTATACAAAAGTTGAAATATTATATTGTATACATGAAACTTATGATATAAACCAATAAACTATATTAAAAAATTTTAAATTAAAAAACTATAAGCTGTCTACAAGTAAAAGTATGGAAAAAGATATGCCACTCTAACTCTAATCAAAAGAAAGCAAGAGTCATCCTATTAATATCAGACAAAGTAGATTTCAGCACAAGAAAAATGACCACGGACATCATATAATGATACAAAAATAAATTCACCAAGAAGATTTAATAATCCTAAATGTGCATGCACCTAACAACTGAGCTTCAAAATATCAAGCAAAAAACTGATAGAACTGAAAGAAGAACTAGACAAATCCACAATTATAGTTGGAAATTTCAACACCTTTGTCTCAACAATCAATAGTACAAGTAGACAGGAGATAAGCAAGAATAGAGAGGACTTGAACAATACTGTCACGCAACTTGACCTAATTGATATTCCAAAACATTACACCCAAGAATAGCAGAAAACACATTCTTTTCAAGTGCACTTAGAATATTCACACCAAGATAGACCATATCCTGGGTCATTAAAAAAAACACCTTAACAAATGTAAAATAATTCAAATTATGCAAAATTATATACACATGAAAGTATACACATCACACATACACACAAATTATACACATCAAAGTATATCCTCTGACCACAGTGTAACTGAAACAGAAATCAATATTAGAAAGGTATCTAGGATATTCTCAAATATTTAGAAATTAATCACACACTTCTAAACAATCCCTGAGTCAAAGAGGAAGACTTAAGAGGAAATAGAAAATATTTTTAACTGAATGGAAAGGAAAACATATAAAAATTTGTGGGTGCAATTAAAGAAGTTTTTAGAGGTAAATTTATAGCAGTAAACACATATATTATAAAAGAAGTTCTCAAATCGAACTCTCTACATTAAGATCCTAGAAAAAGAAGAGTAAATGAAACCCAAAGCACTGAAGGAAAAAATAATAGAGCAGAAATCAATGAAATTGAAGAGGGAAAAATAGTAGAGAAAAATCAATAAAACTAAAAAGTGGCACTTTGATAGGTTAATACAATTGATAAACCTCTACCTAAACTGACCAGAGAGAGAGAGAGAGAAAGAGAGAGAGGACAAAAATTACCTATATTAAGAATGAAAGAGGAGGGACTTCCCTGGTGGTCCAGTGGTAAAGAATCCGCCTTACAATGCAGGGGATTGCAGGTAAATCCCTGGTCAGGGAACTAAGATCCCACAAGCCGCAGGGCAACTAAGCCCGCGGGCCACAGCTACTGAGCTCGCGCGCCTCAACTAGAGCCTATGTGTCACAGACTACAGAGCCCATACACTCTGGAGCCTTCACACCACAACTAGAGAAGAGAAAACCCGCATGCCACAACGAAAGATCCCACATGCATCAACAAAGATTCCACATGCCGCAACTAAGACCCAGTGCAGCCAAAAATAAATAAATAAATAACACGTATGCCACCATTAAATGAAAACTAGTTTAAAAAAAAAAGAATGAGGGCTTCCCTGGTGGCGCAGTGGCTGAGAGTCCGCCTGCCGATGCAGGGGACACGGGTTCGTGCCCCGGGCCGGGAAGATCCCACATGCTGCTGAGCAGCTGGGCCCGTGAGCCATGGCCGCTGAGCCTGCACATCCGGAGCCTGTGCTCCACAACGGGAGAGGCCACAACAGTGAGAGGCCCGTGTACCGCAAAAAAAAAAAAAAAAAAGAATGAAAGAGGAGATGTTACTACAGAACCTACAGGCATTAAAAGGATAATTAGATAATACTGCAAAAAACTCAATGCTCATAAATTTCACAACTGACATGAAATGGATCAATTCCTTGAAATACGCTAACTACCAAAACTCATCAAAGATGAAAATGATAACCTGAGAGCTCCTGTAAGTATCAATATTAAAGAAATTGAATTTATAGTTAAATATCTTTCAGAAATAAATCTCCAGGCCCATGGTTTTACTGGAGAATTCTATCAAATATTTAAAGAAGAAATAACGTGAATTCTAAAAAATCTCTTCTAGAAAATAGAAGAGGAAGAAACGCTTTCCAACTCATTTTATGAGACCAGCATTACCTTGATACCAGAAACCGGAAAAAGACATTACAAAGAAAGAAAATTACAAATCAATATCCCCCATGAACTTAGACACAAAAATCCCTAACAAAATATTAGTGAATCGAATCCAACAATATATATAAAAAGAATAAATTTAAAAGGATATCACATAAAAAGGCCAAGTAGGGTTTATTCTAGAAATACAAAGATTGTTCAACATTCAAAAAGCAATCAATGGGGCTTCCCTGGTGGCGCAGTGGTTGAGAGTCTGCCTGCTGATGCAGGGGACACGGGTTCGTGCCCCGGTCTGGGAAGATCCCACATGCCGTGGAGCGGCTAGGCCCGTGAGCTATGGCCGCTGAGCCTGTGCGTCCGGAGCCTGTGCTCTGCACGGGAGAGGCCACAACAGTGAGAGGCCCGCGTAATGCAAAAAAAACAAAAACAAAAAAAAAGCAATCAATGAAATTCATCATATTAACAGGCTAGAGAATAAACACTGCATGGTCATCTCAATAGATACAGAAAAAACATTTGACAAAATTGAACATCCATTCATGGTAAAAAACAAACAAAAAACTTCAGCAAACTCGGAATAGAAACGTCCTTAACCTACTAAAGGACATCTAGACAGATATTTAATGTTAGAAAGTCAGAATGCTTTCCATGTAATTTTGGGAACAAGAAAAGAATGTTTGCTTTACCATTCTTATTCAATACTGTATTGAGAGTCCTGGCTGGTGCAAGAAGGCAGGAAAAAATATATATATACACATTGAAAAGGAAGAAATAATATTACTCAGCCATTAAAAGGAACAAAATTGTGCCATTTGCCGAGACGTGGATGGACCTAGAGACTGTCATACAGAGTGAAGTAAGTCAGAAAGAGAAAAATAAATATCATATATTAACGCATATATGTGGAATCTAGAAAAATAGTACAGATGAACCTATTTGCAAAGCAGAAATAGAGACACAGACATAGAGAACAAATGTATGGACACCGAGAAGGGAAAGAGGGGGGGTGGGATAAACTGGGAGACTGGGATTGACATATATACACTAATATGTATAAAATAGATAACTAATGAGAACCTACTGTATAGGAGTGGGAAAAAAAGAAGGTACAATCTGTTTGAAGGACATATATTAAGTTAACCTTAAAAATGCATTCCAATATACAGTAGGTGCAGACAAATACTGTTTGATTCCACTTATATATACGAGGTACCTAGAATAGTCAAATTCATAGAGTCAGAAAGTACATTGGTATGTTAGGGACCCCCCTCGAGGGGGAGGGGGAATGGGGAGTTAGTGCTCCTATCTTTTTTTTTTTTTTTGATGTGGACCATTTTTTTTTTTGTCTTTATTGAATTTGTTACAATATTGCTTCTGTTTTATGTTCTGGTTTTTTAGCCCTGAGGCATGTGGGATCTTAGCTCCCTGACCAGGGATCAAACCCACACCCCCTGCATTGGAAGGCGAAGTCTTAACCACTGGGCCACCTGGGAAGTCCAGGGGAATTAGTGTTTAATGGGGACAAAGTTTCAGTTTAGGAAGGTGAGAAATTCGGGAGATGGATGATGATGAGAGTTGCACAACAATGTGAATGTACTTGGTGCCACTGAACTGTACAGTTAAATATGGCTAAAATAGTGTTTTATATTATGTGACTTTTACCACAATAAAAATATATTTTAAAAAGGAAAAGGAAGAAATAAAACAATCTCGGGACTTCCCTGGTGGTGCAGTAGTTAAGAATCCGCCTGCAGATTTTGACAGATCAAGAGGAAATACACCCAAGCAGCCCCACCCACACCTGGGCCTGATTTAGACAATGAGATTATGGACTTTGAACAGATACTATGATGGGATAAGGCTCTTGGGGACCTTGGGGGGGGGATGTATTTTGCATGTGGTAGAGACATGATAATTGGTGGCCAGAGGGCAGACTGTGCTGGACAGGTGACCCTCATGATGCTCTTGGTTTTCACACTCTTGTGTAACCACCTCCCTTTGAGTGTGGTATAGCCTGTGGCTTGTTACCAACCAACAAAATATGGCAAAGGGGATGGATGTTCATGATTACACATATGTGATGATATGATTATGTTATTTAAAGTTACTTAAAGGCACAGTAGTACCTGTTCTTCCTCTTTCCCTTGCTCTCTTTGAGGAAGCAAGCAGCCATGTTGGGGAACCCCATGTGATGAGGAACTATAGGCAGCCTCTGAGAGCTGAGGGTGGCCTCTGGCCAATAGCCAGCAAGAAACGGAAGCCCTCAGTCCTGCATCCCCAACGAACTGAACTCTGCCAACAACTCGAGTGACCTTGGAGCAGATCCACAGTTAAGCCTCAGATGAGACCACAGCCCTGGCCCTTATTGCAGCCTTAGAAAACCTTAAACAGAGGACCCAGTTAAACTGTGTTCAGGCTCCTGACCTGCAGAAACCATAAGATGAGGAATGTTTTTGTTTTAAGCTGCTAAGTTTGTGACAATTTGTTATACAGCAATAGATGATTAATACAGCATTTGCCTGACCCTGATAGTGAGTGTCTCCTTAAATTTTGCGCCCTAAGTGCCCCCCGTTGCCTCACCCTGGTTCCAGCTCTGGTGTGAATTGTGGTTTAGGATGTGTGCAAACACAGTACCTGAATGAGCAGTGTCATTGGGCCATTCTTATCAATTTCCAGGATCTCTCCATTTTTCGTTCCCACCAGTATCTGTCCATGTCCCAAAGTGATGGCACGAATTGAAGGGTTATCTTCCAAAAGCAAGCCTGAGGAGGAAAAAATGCATTTAATACTGCAAATGTTGTATTTAATATAATAAAAAATAAAGCGATTGTAATGATTAAAAAAAAAAAAAAGAATCCGCCTGCCAATGCAGGGGACACGGGGTTCCAGCCCTGGTCCGGGAAGATCCCACATGCCGTGGAGCGACTAAGCCCATGTCCCACAACTACTGAAGCCCGCACACCTAGAGCCTGTGCTCCACAAGAGAAGCCACTGTAATGAGAAGCCCACGCACCACAACGAAGAGTAGCCCCCCGCTCACTGCAACTAGAGAAGGCCTGAGCACATCAACGAAGACCCAACACAGCCAAAAATAAATAAAACTAAAATAAAAATAAATTTATAAAAAAAAGGAAAGAAAACAATCTCTATTCATTGATGGCATGATGTGTAGATGATCCCATGATCATGATCCCATGATGTGTAGATGATTTTGACAAGGTCACAGGATAATGTGCAAAAGTAAATCATATTTCCATATACTAGGAACCAAAAATTAAAAATAAAAAAAATTTTAAATACCATTTGTAAGATTATTAAGTATATGAAATACATAGGGATAATTCTGACCAAACATGTATAAGATCTGTACACTAAAAACTAAAAAAACAGTGCTGGGAGAAATTAAGGTATACCTAAATAAGTGGAGAAATATATTGAGCTCATAGATTGGAAAATACAATGCTAAGATGTCAGTTTTCTCCAAATTAGTCCATAGATCCAATACGTTCCCAAATCCAATCCTGTAAGAATTTTTTACAAAAATTGAAAAGCAGATTCCAAAATTCTTATAGAAATGCTATGTATGTAGAATAAACAAAATAACTTTGAAAAATAAGGATGAAGTTGGAAGACTTCCACTACTGAACTTTAAGATTTATAAAGCTATAGTATAAAGCTTAAGACAATGTGGTATTGGTGTCAAGATAGAAAAATAGATCAGGAGTAAAAACAGTCCACAGAGAGATCCACACATGCATAGTCAATTGAATTTTGACAAAGTTTCAAGGTAATTCACTGGGAAGAGTTTTTTCAACAAATGGTGCTGGAACAACTGGGTATCTATATGCAAAAACATAAACTTTGATCAACACTTTGCACCATATACAAAAAACAACTCAAAATGAATCACAGATCTAAATGTAAAATATGAAACTACAAAACTTTTAGAAGAAAACATAGAGGAAAAATCTTTGTGAATTTCCATTAGGCAAAGATTTTTTAGGCAAACTGAGAGCATGATCCATTAAAAATTTGATAAAGTGGATTTAAAAATCAAGAACATCGGGCTTCCCTGGTGGCGCAGTGGTTGAGAGTCCGCCTGCCGATGCAGGGGACACGGGTTCGTGCCCCGGTCTGGGAAGATCCCACATGCCGCAGAGCGGCTGGGCCCATGAGCCACGGCCGCTGGGCCTGCGCGTCCGGAGCCTGTGCTCCGCAATGGGAGAGGCCACAACAGTGAGAGGAGGCCCGCGTACCGCAAAAAAAAAAAAAAAAAAAAAAAGTGCAAATGATTTGAAGAAGCACTCCACCAAAGATGTATGGATGGTAAGAAAAAAAATGGCTCAACACTGTTAGTCACTAGGTAAATTCAGATGTAAACTATACCTGTTAGAATGTCTAAAATTGAAAAGACTGATTCAAAAGTCAGGGAGTATTTGGTGAGGATGTGGAGCAATGAGAACTCTCACACTGCTAATGGGAATGTAAAATGGTACAACCACTTTGGGAACCAGTTTGGCAGCTCCTTAAAAAGTTAAACGTACACCTACCATATGACCTAGCCATTCCATCCCTAGGTATTTACCCAAGAGAAATAAAAGCACACGTCCAACTTGTATATAAATGTTCATAACAACTTTACTTGTAATAGCCAAAGACTGTCAATCAATACAATGGAACACTCAGCAATAAAAAGGAATGAACTCTTGATACACACAATAACATGAGAATAATGCTGAGTGAAAGAGTGCATACCATATGATTCCATTTACATAAAATTCTAAAATGTGCAAATGAATGAGAGTTTTTGGACATGGAGGCAAGGAGAGGGCAGGAGGGAGAGAGTACAAAGGGACGTGAAGAAAATTTTGAGGGTAATAGATATGTTCATTATCTTGACTCTGGTGATGGTATTGCGTGCACATGTATGTCAAAACTTATCAAATTGTATACTTTGAATATGTGCAGTTTATGGTATATCAATTATACCTGTTTTTTTAAAAAGCACTATTTTAAATAGCTTGAAAAATTGTATTAGGTATAAGTCTAGCAAAATATGTGCCGTGTCTGTATACTGAAAGGGACAAACACTAAAGAAGGAAATCAAAGAAGAACTAAATAAATGGAGAGACATACCACTATTATGAATGGGAAGACAATATTGTTAAGGTGCCAGTTCTCTCCAAATTGATCTATCGATTTAATGCAATCCAAATAAAAATCCTAGTAGCAGTTAAAATAAACAAATTATATAGACATATGTATAATATACATAAGCTATATGTATAATATGTATGTGTACACATACACACATATATAAGAATGAACATATAGAGAAAAAGAGAATGATAAAGCAAATGTGTTCAAATATTAACATTTGGGGAATCTGGGTAAAGAGCATTTACCAGTCTGAGAAGTTTCTGTAACTGAAATTTCAAAATAAAAAGACTTTTGAGAAGGGTTTATACTGTATTGCTTTGTTGTCTATTTTTTTTAGGTGTTACATATTTTGTGAACATATGGCATATCATTAAATATTCTATACCACTTTTTAAAATTGTGATAGCCTATAATGGATGGATGGTTTAAAGGTTATTTAACCAATCATTTATTGTTAGACATTTACATTTGCTCCTTCCCAGAGTTTAATACTTACCTAACCTTTACTCCATATTTTTGCTGCCTTCTGAATAGTTCAGACCCCTCCCTCCACTTCTACCCTGGGACTAAGTAAATCTCTTCCTTCCTGGGCCTTTGATAGTAATACTGGGGACAGGATATAAACCTAGACCAGGTGTCATCTATCTACTATACGAAGCCCCCAGATGTGTTTTATTTGGCTTGCATGGTGTTTTTGTGTTTGAATTTGTTGTCAACATTTAAAAATTAGAAGACTTCACTTGACAGGGACTTCCCTGGAGGTCCAGTGGTTAAGACTTCGCGCTTCCACTGCAGGGTGTGCGGGTTCAATCCCTGGTCCGGGAACTAAGATCCCACATGCTGCACAGTGCGGCCAAAAAAAAAAAGGACTTCACTTGAAACTCTAGATTCTTGACTTCTGTTGAAACACCAGATCTGGCAACAATAGGCCAACACTCTGGCATGGCTATTGTGGCTGGAGTTGAGCTTCAACCACTCTCTGTAGATGAGGAATAGGTTCTCTGCCAGCCCAGCTATCTTTACAGACCTGTCTGCTGGCTCCTGTATGCACTTAGCCTCACCCAGGGCTCTAAAGACACAGATCCATGAACCCCCTCACTCAAAACAAGAGCTGCTCAGGACTTCTGTTAGAAGGCAGTATAGTCGAGAGGAAGAAAGCCCTGGCCTTAAACCAGGGGAGTTAAATTTTAGTCAGCTGGGCTGGTCCTGGCTTTAATATGCCCACTGTGAAATGACCTAGAAGTGTGGTTCTTAACTGCGAGATGGAGGGGAGAGTCATAATGATAGGGTGCTAGGAAAGGTGGGTCTAGCTTGAAAAATCTCCCTAAATGATTTGATGTCCTCCTTTTTGAAAACAACTGGCTTACCTGTCAAAGATCATCTGCAAATCCAAATGATAGGCTCTGGATTTGAATGCCAGGTCTACCATTTACTTGCTGTGTAATCTTGGGCAAGTGACTTCACCTCTCTGAGCCTGGTTTCTCATGTAGGACCTGAAAAAGAAAGAAGACAACAGCTCCCATTTCAAATCCCACTTGAATCTGAGATTAAATCATGATATATATAAGACATGCATGAGTCCCTGGCACAAGGTAAGGACTCTGTATAAGTGGTTACTTTTACTACCCCCTAAGATTGTTGTGAAGATTAAATGAGATAATGAGGTAAAATGCTTAGCAAAGAACCAGGTACATGGTCAGTGTTCAGGAAATGGCTACTTATGATTATTCTCCATAAAGATTCCAAAGGGATACATTGATTTATCATTGCCAAAGGTAGCAAAGAGAACTTGGAGACAATTTGACTGGGCTTGGGGGAATAACTCATAGACTCTAAGACTCAAGTAGAAATCTGGGATGCCTTCTGGGTGTTAGACAGAGATATGAAAGATGGAACTGAGGGTTGTCAATGCAGAGAAAAAAGGAAGGACTTGTTGCCATTGTTTTCCCTTTTTTGTGGAAATAAAAACACTGGGACCTTAAACTAGGAAGACAGGGACCAGATCTGATTAATCTCTGGGTTCCCCCTGTGTAGGGCTGACACTGAGCAGGAACCACTGACTTTCTTTGACTTAGGGGAAGTGACTTTCTCTTGTCTGAGCCTCAGTGTCCTCATCTGTAAAATGAGGAAACGCAAACCTACCCCTGAAAGTGTTGTAAGGATTCAGAGATCACGGTTTGGATATCGCCTGGCTAAAAGTACTCACACAAAACGGTGTCTAGTGTGACAACCCACCACACACCGCTGAGAATGGCGGAAAAAAATTTTTTTTGCATTCTTTTTTAATATTCTTTTCCATTATGGTTTATCACAGGATACTGAATATAGTTCTCTGTGCTATACATTAGGACCTTGTCGTTTATCCATTCTAAATGTAATAGTTTGCATCTACCAACCCCAAACTCCCAGTCCATCCCCCTCCCTTCCCCCATCCCCCTTGGCAACCACAAGTCTGTTCTCTATGTCTGTGAGTCTGTTTCTCTTTTGTAGACAGGTTCATTTGTGCCATATTTTAGATCCCACTCATAAGTGATATCATATGGTATTTGTCTTTCTCTTTCTGACTTCACTTAGTATGATAGTCTGTAGTTGTATCCATGTTGCTGCAAATGGCATTATTTTGTTCTTTTTATGGCTGAGTAGTATTCCATTGTATATATGTACCACACCTTCTTTATCCATTCATCTGTCGATAGACATTATGTTGTTTAGGCTATTGTGAATAGTGCTGCTATGACATAGGGGTACATGTATCTTTTACAATTATAGTTTTGTCTGGTTATATGCCCAGGAGTGGGATCGCTGGATCATATGGTAATTCTATTTTTAGTTTTCTGAGGAACCTCCATACTGTTTTCCACAGTGGATGCATCAACTTACATTCCCACCAACAGTGCAGGAGGGTTCCCTTTTCTCCACACCCTCTCCAGCATTTGTTATTTGTAGACTTTTTAATGATGACCATTCTGACCGGTGTGAGGTGGTATCTCATTGTAGTTTTGATTTGCATTTCTCTAATAATTAGTGACGTTGCACAAAAAAAAAATTTTTATGACAGACTGTATCAAATGTATGCTCCACTGGTGGGAGTGTAAGTTAGTACTATAGTTTGACAGTGTTTGCTAAAGCTAAACACATACCTGCCCTGGAGTATATTCCCATGTTTACCAAAGAAATGTATTAGAATATTCATAGCATCAGTATAGCCCCAAACAGGAAAATATCCAGTTTTAGGCATATTCACACAATGGAAACCATACACAAATGAAAATGAAAGAACTATCCCTACACACAATATGAATCTCACAAACATGTTAAGTAAGAGAAGGTAAAAACACAGTACACACTGTATGGGTCCCTAGAGAGTTTGAAACAGACAAAGTAATCCATGCTGTTAGAAATCAGGTAAATGATAACTTTCAGAGGGGATGAGGGTGGCAGAAAGAGCATGTGCAGAGCTTCTGGGGGCTTCTCTGTTTGGTTTTTTGATCTGAGTCTTGGTTATTTGGGTGTGTTTACTTTGTGTAAATTCGTTGAACTGCACACTAATGATATGTATACTTCTCTGTACTTATACTTGAATAAAAAGTTTACTTGACAAAACTGTAGCTGGTGTGATGAACAGCGGTCAGAACAGGCTTTGAGGACCGACAGATCTGGGGCCCCGCGCTCTGGTTTCTTTCCCTGTAAAAGAGGGAACATAATGTCTGTCAAGATTCGATGAGGTGAGCATGTAAGACTTAAGCACAGGGCCTGGTCTATATAGGCCTGCAGTTCTCCTGCGTGACCCAACTCCTGGCACCGCTGCCTCACCTTCTCCAGCCCTAATGCGTGGGTTCTACTTGATTCACGGTAATGAAGTAACTGGTAATGGCAGGCTTGGGGCTCCTCACCCCCGGGATGGAGCCCGGTAAGAAGTGTCATTCTCAGGGGCAGCCCCCGTCTTCCCGCCCCCGCGCGGGGGGCAATCCTCGGCTGCAGCCTACTTGGAAACCCCCTAAAAGAGCCCCTCTGCGAAACCCGGCCAAAGGCAGCTCCAGCCCCGCCACTAAAGATAAAAGAGCACTTTGCCATCAGACTCTGACAGATCTCTGGGAAACTCTTCTGGTCAAAGAGCAACGAGGGCAGCGCGCCGGCGAGAAAACCCGAGAGCGAGAACGCCGTGCGAGACTGCGCCAAGGCGCGCTATTGCACACGCGCACCGCCCCGGGCCCGCCCGCGCGCTCGCGCGGTACGGAGTGCGCATGAGCATATCTTGGGGGAGGAGCTCAGGACTAGGTCGCCCTGCCCTTTACCTATCCGGCCTATCCGGGCCATCCGGCCGTCTCTCCTTGGTGTCTTAAACTACGTTTTCCAGAATCCATCCAGGCCCTGGCTTTCCGGTGGCATCAGCGGAAGCGGTGACTGGCTTAGGCCGGGCTGCACAGAGGCCGGCTTGGTCGCTATGGAGGAGATAGGCATCCTGGTGGAGAAAGCTCAGGTCCGAGAGGGCGAAGCCGACCTGAATGGGATGTTGAGCGACTTCGGGATCCAGGCCTGGGTCTGAGTGTTTTCGGAGGTCTCAGTGGAGAGCTTAGTGCCGTCCCGAGGCCTGGGCTGTGGCTGAGTGATGCTGGGAGGGCAGTAGGGCTCGGAAAGCTGGGCTGGGGAAACGAGTGACATCAGAGGTTCTTTGGGACTGAATGATTTCGAGGTTTAGCTGGGAATGCTGTGACATCGGTGACCCGGCGGCACTGGGGATGGGTCGGTAGTGAGTGATGTGTGGGATTCGGCCGTGGGGCCGAATGATATCTGCGGCTGGGCTGGGGAGCTGACTGACATTCGGGTCTTAGCTGGTGTTGGAGGGCCGAGTAATGTATGTGGTCTGGCCGAGTGATGTTTGGGGGCTACCTGGGAGCTGGATGACATAAGGGTCTAGTGTGAGCTGGAGTTCTGTGACATGAGGCGTCTTCGGGAGGTAATTGAGTAACGCCTGGACTGTATGAAGGCATGGTGACTTTGTCAATTGAGAGAGCCATGTGATATTAGGAACCTGTTGAGGGGGCCTGGAGGGCATTGGGGTCTAGTAAGGAGTTGATCAGACATTTAGGCCCTAGATGGGAGTTGGGTGACATTGCAGACACGTGACACGTGCCATATGATACCAGAAGATCTGTTTGGAAGGCTGTTTGACCGAGGGGCCTGTGAGGACTTGGGTGACTTCAGAAACCTGTTTAGGGGACTGAGAGGTTTCCAGGATCTATTTAGGGAGCTGAATGATGTCAGGAGCCTGTTAGGGGCCAAGTGACTTCATGGTGAATTGGGAGGGGGGCTCTAGATACTTTCATAAGGGGACCTTCTTCTTCCAACCTGAGTTTCCCTCCATGGTCTAGGATGAGATCCCAGCCCTGTCTGTGTCACGGCCCCAGACTGGCCTGTCCTTCCTGGGGCCTGAGCCTGAGGACCTTGAGGACCTGTACAGCCGCTACAAGGTACATTCAAACCCAATCCGGACCCTGCACAGGGCCCAGCATCCCATACTTCCCCCACCTTCCACTGCTCCTTGGCTCAGCAAGGCCTGGAGCCATCCCCTACCTCTTCCCTCTCTGCTCACAGAAGCTGCAGCAAGAGCTGGAGTTCCTGGAGGTGCAGGAGGAGTACATCAAGGATGAGCAAAAGAACCTGAAGAAGGAATTCCTCCATGCCCAGGAGGAGGTGAAGCGAATCCAGAGCATCCCACTGGTTATTGGGCAGTTTCTGGAGGCTGTGGATCAGAATACAGCCATTGTGGGCTCCACCACAGGTGCGTGGGGGGTTGTTTACTCATCTGGAAATATATTTTACGTTCTCTCTCTCTCTCTTTCTCTATGTGTGTGTATTGTGACATACTCTTAACTAGTTTCCCATTTTGTTCTAGTCTGTTTTGTTTTAAACAACGTTCTGGTCATGACTCTCAAATGATTTCACAACTACTACTGGGTTGGGACCTACAATTTGAAAGCACAGGTGAAGTGTTAAGAGATTGGGCTCTGGTAAGGACCCAGTATACGGGAGCTGCTATTATTACCGTGGGTCTAGGCTCTGCCTTCATGATGGGTGTTGTCTCTGCATCTTATCTGTCTTTTCGTGCTTCTGGCCTCTGCTCCTCTGGACCAAGCCATATTCTTATCAAGTTTGCGGGGAAAGGTGTGTGACTGGGCCTGGAATTGGACTGATGGGCTGGTAGTGAGGTAGTGAAGGGAGGGAGATATCCACAATGAGGCCTGTGTCTTTGATCTTTAGGACTCAGGGGGACAGTGGCTATCCCTGAGATGGAGACATGGGCAGAAAAGCAGGTTTGCAGGGAGACAGTGAGGGCCGTCTGGGACATCACAGGGAAGTGTCTGGGAGGTCACTGGACAGCCAGGTCTGAAGGTCAGGAGAGAGACTGAGGCCAGAAAGAGATGTGTGTGTCACTACCATAAATGTAGAAGGTGGACTGGGGATGTGAGACTGGAGGCTGGGCAAGCAAGAAGGATTCTGCTGCAGAGACCTAGATGGGAGAGGATGGTGCTGAATCAGGGCAGGGTCCCTGGGCAGGAGGGAAGGGATTAGTCAGAGAGACATTTTAGGAGGCTGGTGGACCGCCACGGTGACTGGCAGGCTGTGGAGGGAAGCAGAGAAAAGTCCAGAATGAGGCTTAGAGCTCTCGCTAGTGACTCGGCACCATGGGCCTCCCTGAGACAGAGACCCAGGAGGAGCAGCATAAATGGGGGGAAGATACTGAGACATGGTGAGTGAGACATGCCGTGGGGATGTCCATGGGCAGGCATTCCAGGAGGCTGCTGGTCACCTGGGGCTGGAGCTCAAGAGTCAGGGATAGACAGGGAAGTTGTTAGTGTGGATGGATGCCGGGGTGGACTGGAGGAGGCAAGACTAGAAGCCAGGAGGGCCATTTGGGGTCTGAGTGAGAGATACTGTCGGCCTGGAGGTACAGCTGTGAGGTCGGCAGTTTTGAGGTTCTGGCACTTCTCATTTTCCCCTCTCCCTTCTTGTCCTCTTCCCAAAGGCTCCAACTACTATGTGCGCATCCTGAGCACCATCGACCGGGAGCTGCTCAAGCCCAACGCCTCGGTGGCCCTCCACAAGCACAGCAACGCCCTGGTGGACGTGCTGCCTCCTGAGGCCGACAGCAGCATCATGATGCTCACCTCAGGTGAGGGGGAGCCCAGGGCCAGGGAGGCCTGAGGGGACCCTGCGGGCCAGGCTGGGAGCCCCAGCTCTGCTCTTCCACCAGATCAGAAGCCAGACGTGATGTACGCGGACATCGGGGGCATGGACATCCAGAAGCAGGAGGTGCGGGAGGCCGTGGAGCTCCCCCTTACGCACTTTGAGCTCTACAAGCAGGTGAGGAGCTGGAGCTGGCAGGGAAGGGAGAGGCCATCCCCACCATGTCTCCAGTTGGTGATGGACTCCCCGGCTCATGCTTTTCTCCAACTCTGTGCTTCAGATCGGCATCGACCCTCCCCGAGGCGTCCTCATGTATGGCCCGCCCGGCTGCGGGAAGACCATGTTGGCAAAGGCTGTGGCTCATCACACGACAGGTGAGCCGCTTGGCCCCTCCCCCGAGCTCTGACTTTCTGGGCTCTTCCGACCTTGCCCTCAGTTCTCTCATCCTCCCCAGGAAGTAGTGTGGCACAGCGATTAAGAACATGGGCTCTAGGGTCAAAGACCCAGTGTGCGTCTGACTGAGTGGCTGTGCCGTCCTGGGGAAGTGACTTTACTCTCGTGCCTCAACTTCCTCATCTAACAGAACACTCATTTCACAGCATGATTGTGGGGAATTAATGAAATAATGCCATGTTTTTCCTACTAATGGGTCATTACTAATGACCCATTAGTAATTATGAATTCAAATTCATGGGTTGCAACCAGCTAAAAAAATTAAAAAAAATGAAACAGAACAGAAAACGTTGGAGTCCACCCCACATAGTAAGAACTTGTATTGTTTGTGAACACACACAAACATTGTACACAGGTGTGCTGTGGTTGTTGACAGATGTATTTCTTCTTGTAGGTTCTAAACAAAGATGTCTGAAAGTCACTGTATTACTGTTTGTAAAGCCTAAGGACAGGACTCAGCTCATCTTAAAATCTTAATATATCTAAGCCAAGGAGCAGTAGAGGGCAGTGGGTAAGCAGTGTGTTTTCTGGGCCAGACTGCCTGTGTCTGAAATCTGGCCCCCCTACACCTACTTATATAAGTTAGTACTACTTACGTAAGTTAGTTTATGTAACTACTTGGCAAGTTAGCCTCTCTGTGCCTCCATTTCTTAATTTTCTGGATTATTCAGAGGATTAAATCAATATAAAGCTTCTAAAACCATACCTGGCACGTAGTAAGTGGACAGTAAATGTTAGCCATTGTCATGATCATTCATTGAACTTCTGCTCTCCCAGGTGCTGGGATATAGGGATGAGTCAGACCTGTCCCCTGCATTGGAGAATCTCCCAGTGTGGCTGAAAAAAAGGAAAATAAACACTTAGAACTCAGTCAGTTAACATTTATTGAGCACCTAATATGTACCAAGCTGTGTTCTAGGTGCGGAAGGCATGGCCGTGAACAGAACAAAGTCCCCCCCGTAAAGGTGATGTCTTAGTTGAGGAAGCACTAACAGATGAATGAAGAGATTATATGTCATGTGGTGCTAATGCCTGAAGAAAACAACTAAGGGGCAGGGGATAGGGAATAACAGGGGTGGCGGCTTTATGTGCCGGGACTGGAGGTGGTCAGGGAAGACTTTTCTGAGGTGACATTTACATGAAGACCTAGAAGAAGCCTTGAGGGAGTGAGTCATGTGGACCCCTGGGGGAGGGAGTGTGTCAGGCTGAGGGACTCGGGTGCAAAGGCCTTGAGACAGGTGTGTGCTTAGTGTTCTAGGAACAGTGAGGAGGCCCCAGTAGTTGAAGCCAGGTGAGCACGGGGGTTATGCTTGGAGGTGAGCTTGGGTGGGAACGGCCTGAAGAGTAGCACGTGCTCCAAAGAAGCAAGGAAGGTAGTGGGATAGCCCTAAAGGAGGGTTGTCAATCCATTCTGCGTCGGCTCTTAGGTAGGGGTTCCCAGAGAGAGGTGTGAGGAGTCTGTCAGGCACACAGTTGGGAGAAGGAATAGCATTTGCGAAGGC